ATTGACTTATACCCACAGCCAGAGAATGGGTGGAATTCCTGGATCTTACTGGAGTGTATAGAGATAAAGGAGTATAGTATTGCAAATAACTTTGACATAATTCAGAAAAGGTAATATGCATGTGTGTACATACATAATCAGACATCACTATGTGGGCCCTCTGTAATTCAGGTTTTTCATCTGCTGATTCAACCAACTGCAATTTTTTAAAATTGCATTTGTACTATATATGTAGAGACTTTTTTCCCCTATCATAATAACTTATATAATAGAGTATAACAACTATTTACATGGCATTTACATTGTATTAGGTACTATGGGTAATCTACATATGATTGAAAGTATGTGGAAGTTTGTGCATAGGCCAAATGTGTATACCCTACCAGTTTACATAGAAGACTTTAGCATCTGCAGATTTTCATATCCATGAGACACTTAGGACCAGTGAATGTCAAGGGACAATTGTATATATAGTGAGTGTGTAAAAAATATATATTTAATTGGTATATACAAGTATACAGAAAAGAATGCTACTGAAAATGACTCCAAAATTACCATTTGGTGAATACAGGTAGAATGCACAAGAGTTCTTTACACTGATTTAAAACTTTTCTGTATATTTAAAATTATATAAAAATAAAAACCTACATTATAGGAAGTAACAAACACATTAAAACATGAGTTAATCGTAATAGTATACAAATTAAATACACAGTCATATTTTTGTGAAAAGAAATGGAAATGAAAAAATTAACATTGTCATTTGAGCATAAGAAAGACATTTTTTAGACAGTTAGAGTACAAATTGCCAATATCTCATGAAGGTCATTGGTCATACGGTCATACACACCTTTTGAACATTTCTGATGTGACTAGTCAATAAAAACAATGAGACATAGGGCCGGGGATTTAGCTAAGGGGTTCTGGCGTCTGCCTCACAAGCTCAAGATCTTGAGTTCTATCCCTGGTACCAAAAAAAAAACAAAGAACAAACAAACAAGCAAACAATGAGACATGTTTTAAAATGTACAATTGTGTCCATTTTATATTGCTATTTTCAGTAGAAATTTCAATCTTCATTTTCTGTAAAAGTAGATTAGATTAATTATAGTATATCCATAATACAATCAAATGAGATTGAAGAAAATTGTTTGATAACATCATTTTGCAAAATCTTAAAATGGGCCATATGAAAGTAGACCACAGAAGATTATATATAATAGATCTTCAAATTAGTTTTAAATAAAAGAGTTAGCTGTACATAAGGAAAAGGAGGAATAAAGATTAATGATATAGTGGGAAGGACAATTTCCTTAGAAGGGAGGCTCCAGGACATATCTTATAATGGGTAGTCTGGAACCTTCCTCATCAATCTCAATTAAGAGGCCAGTTTAAAAGATTCCTTCTAGATCCACTGAACCCCAAGTTTAGGGATGTCACTTTAGAATCTGCATTTCTGAATATCACTCTGAATGATTTGATGAGTTGCAAATATACACTTTTTCTGAGAGTAGAACTCCAAAACTCACCCAAGTTTTGACAAGTGTTGATTTGAGCCAATTAAGTAAATTAGGTTATAAACAAATAAATTTGGTCCTTCTATCTCTTTTTTTTTTAGCTTGTCTCTAAAATCTTCTAAAGTCAAGTTTCAGAGTTTATCTGCTTTTATTCTTCTGCACTTGCCCTTCAGTGAGAGTCTTCTTGGTACCTTATTTCCTTATCTTCTGTGGAGTCTTGGTATTGATTATCTTTTGGAATCCAGTGTTCCTCATTCTTTCCAGATTCTTAGTATCTGTAAATCTGTTTCTCGACTGAAAATATTTGTAAACATATAAAAAGAACAAATTTCACATTACTTACTCTCTCTTATTTTCTAAAATTTCCTGTTATATCCTGTACTGATGGCACTGCCTATAGAGACCTCCATATTAAGCTGCCACCATATTCTCAAAGCATTTTATTATTTTATTATTTAAACAGCTGGGCTCATTTTGAATGTCTCTGCTGACAAATTTATCTTCAAATACCTGCAATGCCTGAGAATATATTTCTAGTTCCTTGACTCTAAGGGATGTTGTGATTTATCCTGATTAAGAGCAATTTTCCTACCTTCCAGAACAGTTAGAAACATTCTACTCAAACAGTCTGTGGAGGATTTCAGAAAATTAAAATTTTACTGTGCACTAATTGCATTTATTTATTTCATGTTGGAGAAATAAACTAGGAAAAGAAACAAAAGATGTATTCAAATATCCATATAAAAAACACATTTTATGGTTATTGATTTTAACAAATGTTAGAAAATTACTTTAATACATTTATGATTTGAAGCAAATTACTTAAACCTTTTATGCCTAAATTTTTCTCAACTACAAAATAGGGACTTTTATTAATACTTTTATTAGCAACATATAAATTACAAACAAATAAGCTATAGTAAAGACATATCAATCATTGATATATAATATAATGAAATCAAAACCAGAAAAATTATAGTTAACCATTTGACCTCTGCTATATAACTGTGTAACTGTAACAATGTACATCGATTTAAAAAGTTTAAATGGATTAGACCAAAGTTACCTTTTCCTGCATTGTGATATGTAAAATATAGAAATATAATTTTCCGTGTAATCTATGCTTTTTCAGAAAAGGCACTGCTCTTGATAAAAAAGATATTGTTTTTTAAAAAGATTAGGATATTTTTACATCATCGCTATGCCTAGAAACAAAAAATGTCCAATATATGGTTAATGTTACACACAGTTTCAAGTCTTCTTGAGAGCTATTATCAAGACAACAGTCAACTCTGTGCTGAATTACAATAAACTTAAAAACTAAAATTTAAGTTAGTTTCCAGCTAATTGAAAATATTCCTAGGCCAAGATCATAATGGTTATCCAGCTCCAAACTTTGGAATGCAAGTTTACAAAATCTATGTAGTGTTAATGCTGTGTCAAGTGTCCTGCAGCATTTCATCAATGTCACTTACAAGGTATACTCAAGGCTTAACAGCAGGGTCATTAACCACCAAGGCTGTCAGTACCTGAATAGCTCTTGCCTCCTAACCCTGAAAGAAGCTCACTGTGTGACCTATATCTTCCCGCTGGATGTGTGAAAAAATGACACCACAGGAGCAAAGCAGCTGCTGCATGTTGAACCACAAAGGAAGAATTTTAAGCACACAGGGAGAAGAAAGGATTTAGGAATGAGCTGAAGTAATGCATCTAACAATGTGGCATAGCTAGGAAATAATGATATAAGATGAATTAAAGGAGAAAGAGCTAAAGGTGGTTCACTGAAGTAAAAATAGATGGTAAAAGAAAATTTGTCAGGTTTTACAATTAGTTTATGTTACTGGTGAGTTGATTTAAAAATGTATTAAATATACCTGTAATCAATTTTTTAGCATTTTTTTAAGCATTTGACATGAAATGTCATAAACAAATCTACCTTAAATTCTGATTCTATTAGTGGTAGAATACAGTGGACCTTTGACTTATGAACTCAATTCTTTCCCGAAGGCTGGTTGTACCTCAAGCTGGTCATTTGCCTTTAAAGTCTCTGCTGTATAGTTTTAGGCCACATTTTCATCCAAATCTCAGAGTCCTTAGAGACCATTCCCCCAGGATTTCTCAATCAACCTCACATAGGAAAGGATGTTGGAATGTTCCTTCCAGAACTCTTTAAGGGTTAAATCTGTTTCTGAGATCATCTGGAAGCACAAGTAACCAACATTCAGGTTGTAACTCAAGACTTTGGTTTTAAGTTAAAACTAAAATTCCAGTCATAACCCAAGTTGGCTGTATGTCTGGCCAGTCATAACTTGAGGGTCTGATGTATATAATAAGTATCTCACTTTTATAAGCTTTAGCTTCCTCATCTGAAAATTTAGTAAATAATATTAATAAAATAATATGACATGTATAGTTTATAAATATTATTGTGAGGAAATATGTTTATATAAAATGTAAATATATTATATTGTTGGAATAATTAAGACATTTCATGTGAATTTTAGTTATAAAGACCAGCACAAGATAGAATCACAACAAATGCCAGTTTTCATATTTGAATGTTTGAAATTTTAGCAAACTATTAAATACTTAAAATGAAACTTTCTTTGTACAAATATGTGCCTAAAGAGCCCAAAGGTGAGAAATTTAAAAACAAAGTTATCTATAAGAGATTAGGAATAAAACTGACTTGAGAAGTCAGGCATCAAGAGTTTATTAAGTTTTTATTTAATTTTCCTAAATATGTATTTCAAGAAAGATAATCCTGAAAGATGTAAATATATTCTTCACAGAACACATACTATCATGTGACAAAATGTCTTTACTACAGAATTTAAAAATATTTAACTTCAATTTACTTGTCTTGGCCAGAAAACGGTAGCTTTTTATTATATATGCCTGCCTGTAAGACCCCCTGAAGAGTAAATTATCAAAACAGTGAGTTTTGTATGACTTTAAAACCTATTGAAGTGTGGGGCTTGACAGGAGTTACATATCTGAGACATTTACCTGGTTAATAACTAAGTAACTAATATGATAGTTAACTAATAGTTAGCTAACTAATAAGATAGATATCTTTTTACTTGCATAGCTTCTATTTAGCAAGATTTTGTTTCCTCTTTTCTCTTTTGTGGTACTTTACACAATTTTCACACACTGACATTATAACAGATTTCAGTAATAGAATTTCTTTAGCACAATGTGTACATCTTTCCATCTTAAGATAAGCATAAGAAAACTAGAAAAATCTTGGAACTTCTGGTACTATTAAAACCCGTTCATGTTCTGTTAAGGAAGCTTCTATTTCTTTTTTTTTTGTTTTTTCTTCAGCCAAAAGAGAGTGAGAGTGTCTGTGGTTATAAAGAAAGATCCAGTAATACTTTTGTAAATGAATCACTACTGCATTTACACCACTAACCTCTGAACAGATGTCAGAAAGTAAAGATTGGTTGCCTCTAGATCAAGTTGCTGCTGCCAACTCTCGCGAGCTTTGTCCGTAACAGTTGATTGTAAAGTCAGTGAAGTCCAATTTACAGGCTGGAGCAGCAGCTGTATCCTGCATTCCCCTGAAGTATTACATGATTTCCACTCTTTGCAAACTTTGTCATCTTTTTAGACAGAAAATCGGGTAAGTTGCTCTGAATTCATCTCTTTGTGTAGAACTGCCAGTTATTGTGAGTCTCATTCTGTGGGAGGGGTGTGATGTCTTCACGTGTTTTGTTGTGTCCCTTTGGTGCTTTGTGGGGAACAGTCACTGAAAGCTGGAAAACAGGACAGATGAAGCAGAAGAGCAGGCACCTGCATCAGATCACTCTATTTCTCAGGGAACACAGATTCAGTGCTTGTAACCGCAGAGGAAATGAGTCACTTAGTTTACTTTGTATAAAGGGTTATAGTCCTTATGGAATCCCTGATCCACTAGAATATATGTTCTTTATAGCACTCTAAGGAAAAATATTTTATGTTTTTTACCCTTAAATGAACTGATTGGTGAATTTCTTCTTAAAAGAGTAACAAAAGTAGTCTTTGACTAGGCTTGATCTATTTCTCTCTCGCTCTTTTTAGGTACCTTAAAATTAGTAGCTCTCTAATTGATTATTTAAAAGGATACTTTTCTCAATCAATTTTTTTTTTAATCTGAAACTTTCACAATGTCGACTGGCGAATGAAAGGTAATAGTTTCCTTTAAATAAAAGGAAAATCTTCCTGATTTGATTTACAAACTTTTCTCTTTTGCTGTTTGTCCTCTGTATTATTAGATGTTTTTAAATTGTAGCAAAATATCTCATATTTACTTTTATTTTTATTATTATCAAGTTTATAAGAAAATATAGACGTTGTGCTTTTCCTAAGATCTTGTAAACCTACCATTATTTTTGACATTAGTTCCAGTCTAACCATGGGGTTAATCATTAAAAGTACATTTTGTAAGATTGAAAATTGAACAAAATTATTTTCTTGCTTAGATTTCTATTTGTAATATGGTTTTCACACTTTTATGTCTACATTTATATTGAGTTTTCATCAATAGTAGGTAACGCCTAGTCAGTCTAAACTAGTACTTAAAATAAGTGCAACTATATTTTATTTATGTAAATATTACATAAGAACAAGAATTATCTTTTTAAAGTATGGTTTAATGCTTGGTAGTGTGGTCTTTAAAATTCGCTACAGGTAAGAAATAGCTTGGCATTTAGAACTTAAATGTAATTTTTATTTGGATTTTCAAAGTTCTGTTCTATCTCTAAGGTTTTGTATTTTTACTAATTTGCATTGTCTCACTTCATATAATATTTTTAAAAACTCTAATAGAAGAATATAACATTTTTTGTAAAATATAAGCTAATCATATTTTAACAAATCACGTTTCATTTACAAATTTAGTTCCTAATCTATGTATTGGTAATAATAATACATTTAAATTATATATTACCTTTGTTTTGAAGATTTTGTTAAAATTTGCTCATTTTTACTAAATCTTTACTGTTATAGAGAAATATAGTTGAACATATAAAAACCCGAGAACAGGCTCATGTTCCAAAGAAGACTAAATCTAGTAATTAAATGTTCAAGTTATTTCTACAATAAAATTTTGTGAATTTTTCTCCTAATTGAGGACAGATACAGATCTCATGGTTCTCATAACTAATATAACATCTTTTATAAGAACACAACCTCCTACCGCCTAAAGGATATCTGAAGGATCCCTGAAAGAGAGCATCACAGTCTATTTATAAACAGACTTCCCCAACTGCTCACTTCACTTAGCCTACAACAAAACAAGCTTTTGAGGTTTAGTATAAAGACTTACTTGTTTATATTTAATCATACGCATTTTAGTGGTGCTTGATGTAGATCATATTAATGTAATCTATCTGGCTCTTTCCCAAGTATTTTAAGAAGTTTTATTTTCTAATTAAAAATATGTATTTTAATTGTAACTTTTTCAAATATAAGAAAATTACCCTAAACCCAGGGAACATTTTTATGAATATTTTATATGGTCACTGGCTAGCCCATTATTTTGTATATTTGGTTAATATTCAGTTATGGCAAATATATCATAAATAGTGCTTTATCCAATCATTTTATCACATTCATACCTCATAGTATTAACTTATATATTGTTAGATTTGGCTGGGGAATTTTGACATGTTTAACTTTGGGGGGGGGGCTGGAAGAGGAAGAGTACTGGGGATTGAACCCAGAGCCTTTACACTCAGCTACATCACCAAACCCTTTTAATATTTTTTCTTTTTGTCTTTGTTTGTTTTTGTTTTTTTGAGATGGGTGTTTATTAAGTCTCTAAGTGGCCCATGCTGGGCTTGAACTTGGGATCCTCCTGTTTCACATCTCAGAGTGCTATGACTATAGGAAGGCTAGACTTTCAAACTGTGCTGAAAATACAAAAATAAGGATACATTTTCTCATTTTGGTCTTAAAAGTTGTATTTTTAAAACTTTACAAATTCCCAAATATTATTAAATTTTGATATCCTGGAACCTTTGATGCACTTGAAATTGATTGTCCTTCAGGGCTTTTCCAGAGTCTCACATCATTAATTTACTTTGGCATTCCAAACAAAACTTACATCTTATTTTTCAAATATTAACTACTACTTCAGTAAGTTAATTGATTTCATTCAGATATTTAGTTGAACATGGTGAGAATATTTGCCCCATTCTTTATGATAAATAAATTATGTACTCACAGAATTTAATGGTTTAATGGCAGTAGCTAGTTGTACCAGAATTCATAGGAGAAACAGTAAAAGTTTTATTGAATATTTTAATCATTATTAAAAGATATATAAACTAATGCCATTTTTATTTCTTTTTAAAATTTTTATTATTTCTTCTATATAGGTATCATGAACTTTGAGAAAAATAAAACGATGCTTTTTAAATAAAGTGCTACTGCCAGATGTAAAAATCTTAGGGTACACTGAGCATGTGTATATACTCATAACTTTCATATCAAGTACAGATTTATTAATATGGTATATAAGGTTCTTCAACAGGAAGCACGTGAATTAGAACTACTTTGTCATCTTTTCAATACATACATACTTACTACAATTTTTTGTAATGCTATTAATTACATCATTTACAAGGAAAATCTCATGAATATTACTATTGAAAAAACAATGACTTTAAATCATAGAAATAGTACTGTATAAAATCTTGACCTGCTTGGCACAAAGTAAACAAAAACAAACAAAATATTTATGTAAATAAAATTGAGTAACACGAGAATGATTGTATAAAGTTTTAGATGCTATAGCAGCTTTTTTAAGCAATAAGAAATAAAGCAAACATATTTTTTAGAAATTATAGTTGGTTTGCAGTAGAATTGTTAAACTTCTTATAGAACAAAAGTTAAAATTTTTCAGAGTCTGAAAGTTATCGGCATTTTGTGTTAAAATGTTTAAGTAAAACCAAGCAGAAAAAAACCAGATGATGATTCTGTTGGCCTCACAAGGACACTGACTGAGCCAGGTAGAAGTGAGGAAAGAGGTCAAGGAGGACTGCTGCAGTGAGTTTATTATAACGCAGCTTAGAGAAAACCAGCTTTGTGTCATATTCTGCTTGACAAAGTAAGTTTTCAGAAAAGATAACAACAATCCCTCATAGTACTTTGTGCTTCTCTAAATGTTCACATGATTTATTTAGTATGTTTAGTAACTTTAAGGAAAAAAAAGAATAAAAAGACTGTAGTAGCGGTGCCTCTAACTCCTGTCAAAAATATTAAATTTCTTTAGTAAGTTTTAGGTGACCAGAACCTTTAGATTATTAATATTACAGATTATTTTCTTCTTAATATTTACAATACAATAAATTACAATGATCAGTTATATTACTTAAATGTCATACACGTACAAAATGTCAGAATATTGCATTTTTGAATAGTATATTTTACTGATGTTAACACACATCCAATTATACCAAAGCAGAGCAAATAAAAATAATCTGTGAGCTGACTTAAAAACAGAATTTGTTATAACAATCATTTTATGTATTGTTATATTTACATATGCATATTCATATTGCTAAAATGATATATAGCTTTAAATATAGTCATTATACATTAAGGTCTAAACCAAGTGCTATACCCCATATTTAATTTATTCAGATTTTTGTTGAAATCAAAAAAATACTTGTTGACAGCTGTCTCATGAACAGTAGTGAATGAGGCTGATTTAGAATACAAATATTCTTCATCAAGGAAAATAGTTATCAGGCTAGCTTCTTATTCTCTGAAATCTAAAACAAGCAAAGAACAAGTTAATTCAAATACACAATTCTGATAGGATTAGTTTCTTGGTCACATAGGTTGGATTTGCAATTACAGCATCAGAAAAAGTAAAGGAATTATTTTGTACCTTATGGACCTTTTGTTATTGTTATATGGATGCAAACACAGTACTTGTAATTGAATATTTTAATTGGGTTTATTGCAGTTATATAAAGATATTAGTTCTGTAAAATGATATTTGCAATACATTTATAATCCCTCTATCACATGGAATTTCAGAATATGATATTTAATTTTTTATTGAAAACAAACTCACATTTGCATTATGAATTTTTGATAAAACTTTGATCTCTCCAAATAATCCCTATATCATTAAACAAATATTACTTAACAAAATATCACATATGTATAATTTCATAAGGTGCCAATATTACTTTAGTTTTTCTAAATGTCATAGTATACTCCCAGCTGAGAGCTGATCTTAGTCATTTTTTCCACCATCAAAATGGAAGTAACACATGTGACCAATGGCATATCCTTTAGTCGATTAACAAATTAACACTTGTCTATTGAATAGAATGGCTTCTGAGCCAGTATCTTCTTCCATATATTACAATATGGCCATTGTGACTATAATTCAGGGAGAGAAGCCCTTCATTCTTTTCAAGTTTCAGAGAAATTTCCTAGTATATATCTTCAGCCCTTGTCAATTTTAGGTCTCTTAACATAGGCTTTTTTTTATGGAAACAAGTTTGTGAGGTTTTTACAATTTGTAAAATTCATTGCCAATACAATATTTTTGCTGCCTAACATCCTATGAATAAATTCTCTAAATTCTCTTTTGTGGATTGACTAAGATTGTACAGAGGAAGAAATCACTAGGCAAAGCAACCATGAACAGGACCATGGAACAGAAAAGGACAGAGAGAATTCTATGCACAAGCGACACAATTCTATGGACTGCAAACTACCCAGGCCTGATATTTCAGAAAATATATGCATTTGTGTTTTCTCTGCTGACCAAGGAAGAAATCATATCTAACATAAGTAATGCCACATTTGATGTGGCTCAGTATGGTACAGAATTAATATATATGCTTGGGTCAAGCTTCATCATTATGATGTAAAATCTTTTTTAAAAAGATTTGATAATGAATATTTCCAAAAAGAAATAACTTTTATTTTCCATTCTATTAATTTTTCTTCTAAATCAAAATCTGAAATAGCTTCATTATATTTTCTTAACCTGCATAGGCCTTCTGAGTAGTAGCAGATGTATATAGGATTAATATCTACTATGTTTTACTAAATTGTCAGCAACAATTTATAATGCTATATGCATGAGGCTGATACAACTTTCTACCCACCTTTCTTTTAGAGATCAATATGCAAAGTAAGCACACAATCACAAGTGTCTCATGTATTTTGTGGTTTCTTCTGTTCTGCGCGCTTGTTGGGAAGTCCTACACTGAAGAAGACATCTTAGTTACAACTAGGAGTGGAAAAGTCAGAGGGATGAACTTGTCGGTTCTCGGTGGCACAGTCACTGCCTTTCTTGGAATTCCCTATGCACAGCCACCTGTTGGTAGACTTAGATTCAAAAAGCCACAACCTCTGAACAAGTGGTCTGAAATTTGGAATGCCACAAAATATGCAAATTCTTGCCATCAAAACATAGATCAACGTTTCCCAGGATTCCAAGGATCAGAGATGTGGAATCCAAACACAGAGCTCAGTGAAGACTGTTTATATCTTAATGTGTGGATTCCAGCGCTGAAGCCAAAAAATGCTACTGTAATGATATGGATCTATGGTGGTGGCTTTCAAACTGGGACATCCTCTTTACATGTTTATGATGGAAAGTTTCTGGCTCGAGTTGAAAGAGTTATTATAGTTTCAATGAACTATAGGGTGGGTGCCCTAGGATTCTTAGCTTTACCTGGAAATCCTGAGGCTCCAGGAAACTTGGGTTTATTTGACCAACAACTGGCACTTCAATGGGTCCAAAACAATATTGCAGCCTTTGGTGGGAATCCTAGAAGTGTAACTCTCTTTGGAGAAAGCGCAGGAGCAGCTTCAGTTGGGCTTCATTTGCTTTCTTCCAAAAGCCACCCTCTATTCACTAGAGCTATTCTGCAAAGTGGGTCCCCTAGTGCACCTTGGGCAGTAATATCTCCTTATGAAGTTAGGAACAGAACCTTGACGTTGGCTAAATTTATTGGCTGTTTCAAAGACAATGAGACTGAGATAATAAAATGCCTTCAAAACAAAGATCCTCAGGAAATTCTCCTGAATGAAGTGTTTGTCCTCCCTCACAATAATCTCCTGTCAGTAAATTTTGGTCCAACTGTCGATGGTGATTTTCTGACTGACATGCCGGAGACTTTGCTCCAACTTGGACAATTTAAAAAAACCCAGATCTTGGTGGGTGTGAATAAAGATGAAGGGACAGCTTTTCTAGTATATGGTGCTCCTGGTTTTAGCAAAGATAACAACAGTATTATAACTAGAAGAGAATTTCAAGAAGGTTTAAAAATATGCTTTCCAGGAGTGAGTGAATTTGGAAGGGAATCCATCCTTTTCCATTATGCAGACTGGCTAGATGACCAGAGGCCTGAAAACTACCGTGAGGCTTTGGATGATGTCACTGGGGATTACAATATCATATGCCCTGCCCTGCAGTTTACCAAAATCTTCTCAGATTTGGGAAATCATGCCTTTTTCTACTCTTTTGAACACCGATCCTCCAAACTTCCTTGGCCTGAATGGATGGGAGTGATGCATGGCTATGAAATTGAATTTGTCTTTGGTTTACCTCTGGAAAGAAGAAATAATTACACAAAAGCTGAAGAAATTTTGAGTAGATCCATAATGAAACAATGGACAAATTTTGCGAAATATGGGTAAGTGCCAATTTTTGTAATTTTTCTCTAGTTTGTTTGTTTTGCTTAGCTTTGCATTATCTCTGGTGCAGACTTCATTAAAGCTATAAAAATTCTTTATTCTTTTTGTATCTGAGCTTTTTTATATTATGTAGTGAATTTCAATTAATAGAAATCATCAGCATTTTTTTGAAAAATATTTTCTGATTTTATTCTCAATACATTTCAGAGTACATTGGTGATGTTAGTCAAATACGTATAGAAATAGATGGTTGCCTTGAGAACTAAATAATTGTGACAGTGCTTTTTGACCTGCACATTTACTGTGTTCATGGATTTAGGGAAGAATAGGAATATGTTTTCTCATCCTCATCAACCTGGTTTAACGTTACCTAATGCATGGAAAACTACATCTCTGCTCAAGAAAGTGAAGGGTAAAGATAGTCATGGAAGTTGCCCCAGATTACCCAAAATGTGCAGTATTGACCACTTTGTCAAATTTTCTCCCAAATAGATTTGTTAAGGACTCTTGGGTAACCTGTGTTTGACAAGACCTATCAATCAATGTCTTCTCTTTTAACTAAGCTGTTCTCACTTGAGGAATCTCTTGGCTAGCATTAGATGATCATAGTTTTTATAAAACAACATATTTCCAGGGCCAGGAATTTAGCTCAGTGGCACCATGCCAGCCTTGAAGTGCAAGGTCCTAAATTCTATCCCTGGTACCAGAAAAAAAAACTTTAAAAAATGTATTTCCCTTGGTATGTTATAAATATTGTGATATTATATCCTCAAGAGTCAGAAGAAACTAGGGAAGTTCCTAACTTACAGAGGTTTTACTATTGCTTTTTCAATTCTACAATGGTGCAAAACTGACACCATTCAATAGAAACTGTTCTTTGGATTTTTGATTTTGATCTTTTCCTGGGCTACCAATGTGATACTCTCTCAGGATACTGGCCAGTGGGAGAAGGCCACAGCTTCCAGCAAGACACATGATGACAAGGGTAAAAACTGGATAGTCTGTAGCATACTGTATTGCTAAACTATACTTTATAGTAGTGTACAGAGAATTGAATACATTTTCAATACATGATAATTTAAACACATAAAGAGCTTATCAGGATGTAACCCTCTGATAAATCAAAATGCATTTGAAATAGGCTTTTAAATGTGTGTCCATGTGTATAAAAATAAAATCTATTTTCACTGGATTTATATTCCCAATTGAATTTTATACATTGGAGTAGTTTGTGTAAGTGTGAATAATAAAAAATAGAAAATCCAGAATCTTTTTTTTTTAGTGCCAAGGATTGAACTCGGGTCCTTGTGCTTGCGAGGCAGGGGACAGAACCCCTGAGCTAAATCCCCGGCCCCAGAATCTATGTTTAAAAAGCATCTGTACCATTCATAAATGGATATATTGACTAATCCGATTGTGATATTTTCCTTAATAATCAGAATAGTTTCATTCAGAAATCCTTATACTCTTCTATGTTTCAGCATCATTTTATAATATCAGTTCCATGATATTATTATTGTCAACTAGAGATATTTATCCACTGAGTATTCTCAACTCTGGATATTTATCCACTGAGTATCTCAGTGTAACTAGAGATAAATATCTACAGAGTATTTATCTACTCAGGTGGAATTCTTCCACTGGATATTAAGGGGCTTCTACAACCCTGCTTCAACACGTTACCAACCTCACCTGGCTACATGATAGGCTAGGTATCTCAGCAGCCCAAAGACTCAAGCTGAACTCTAACTTAGAACTCTTTTCTTACTGTGTGCTCCGTTTGAAATAATTACTCCCTACTTTTCTTCCCTTTTTCATATGCTCCTGTTCAAAATCATAATCTCAACTGAACATCAAGAAAAACAAAGTTGGTAAGTGACAGTTTTTTGAATCCATCCACAGCTGTCTTACCACAGATACGTTGCTCCAATTCTTCAGTTCTCAAGTGTGGAAATTTATTCCCAATCCCCACCCCAGTTTCAGGAAATTAAACAGTATTTGGAGGTCATATTCGGTGTTACAACTAGGGGTGGGATCATACTAGCTGGGTAAAGGACAGGAATGCTGCTACATATCATTTAATGGATAGGACGAGGCCCCCACCCCACAGCAAATAATAACTCACTCTTAAATGTCAATAAAACCAAGATTGAGAAGTTGTGCTACACAATACTTCCTCATAATCTTCAATGAAAGTAAAAAGTAGAATTTGGAGCTCCAATTTTTGTTTCAAGGAAGTGTGATTTCAAGTTCATGTTTCATGTTAATGTTCTAATTGATTCTTCTTAAACAGTATCACTATGGTTAGTAATTATGAACTTCATTGGAGTATAAGCTATCTATAGTAAAATACTCATGTACTAGGCACACGGTTCAATAAGCTTTGATCAATTCATATAAAATGTAATTTCTCAGTTTCAGAAAAATTCCCCCATAGAAAATTCTCTTTTACTCCTCATACTCATTTTGACAATATTCCTAGGTTATAGATTTATTTTGCCTTTTCTGAACATACATACATATCATTGTATCATACACTGTATGATCCTGTATCTCATATCTTGGCTCAGTATGATATATTTGCAATTTGTCAGTATTATATCACTAGTTTATAACAAATCCACTCACAGTCAGTTGCTGTTTGCTGTGGGAGATTATATCATAGTTTGTTTAGTTGTTCACATAAAGTTTGTTTCCTGTTTGGAAATATTATGGCTGACATTTCTACGAATAAAAGTTTCTATGAATCAAGTTTGTATAAAACTTTTGTTGATAGATGCTTTTTCTATTTTGAAGGGTTAAAGAAGTAGGAAAGGGATTGTATTGTTGGAACACATAGTTCTCATACACGCTTATCTATTTAAGAGAGTCCAACTTGTTTCTTAGTTGAGAATTTCACACACTCAAGCAATTTGCTCCATATCTACAGTAGCGCTTTGAGTGTCTTTTTAATTTGAGCTGTTCAACCGGCTTCATAGTGGCATCTCACTAGAGTTTCACATTATATTTCCCTGACCATAATGTAAACTATGCTTTCATATCACGTCCTTACTAGTCACTTGTATAGGTTCTATTTTTGAATGTCTAATTTTCTTGCCTGTTTAAAAACTCGGTCTTACTTATCACAGTGTTGTAAGGATTCTTATATATTCAGAATGCAAATATGTGCATTTTGAATATTTTCTCCTAATTTGCATCTTGGTTTTGAATTTTTTCAGTGGCTTTCTTAATGTTTTGAGTAGTGGAAATTTTAATTAATTATTTTCCATATATATGGAATATATGTATATATTCCATTACTATTTATTGAGAAGACATTTCATTACCTACGTAGCTACCTTGGAAATTTTATGAAAATTTAGTTAACCACACGTGTAAGACTATGACTAAGGATACTTCATTGTGTTCTGATAAGTGATCTATTGTCTATTTTTAAGGCAGTATTAGTGACTTTAATAGCATACATACACAGTATGTTTCAAAATATGATAATTTAAGAGTATACTTTGTTATAAAAACCAAAACATGGATTAGAAAAAAGTTCTATTTTAGTTTATATTTCTGAAACAGCCTTTCATTTTCTATAAAAGCTGAGATGGAATGTTATTCATCAGTCAATTTGAAAAGGTTCATTTTAACATTATTGCTTTCAAATCCATGAATATGGGATATCACTGCTTTTATTTTGTTCTTTAACTTGTAACATGATTGCAAATTTTATATATGGAGGTCTTGTGGATAATTTAATCCAACTTATTCATGAATTTTAAAATTTGATTATTCAAATTAATTTTCTGGTATTAAAATATATCC